ATAAAAAAATAAAAATTTACTTAAAAACTTTTAAAAAAAAATCCCATTCTTAAATACGAAGGAAACAAAAAAAAAAAAAAGGACAAAATTGATATGTTTTATCTTATCTTTTCACCAAACAATCCATCTCACCGAGACACAGCCAACAATTTCAAGACAACGTCCGTCTGTAAGAAAACAAGGCTGGCCTCTTTCTCCAGCGCAACCGCTGAACTTCTCATTCCTTGTGCTTCAAAATCTGGTAACTTCCTTTCAACCCTAGATCTAATCTACTTAATGTAATGCGCTTCGAGCATAATCCTAGGGTTCTGTAGTGAAACAGTGTGGTGATAATTGGGGGAGATTGTTTTGAAAACCTGAATTTCTGTTTTTCCTTTGATATGAATTTGCTTTTACAGTTTTTAGTTCGAAAATCTTAACATTGATGGATGGATAAGAGTTGATGATTGTGGTTGATTGTTCTGTGTTGAAAAATGGGTAAATTGTGGGAAGGATGGTGATGTTGATGGAACTGGTAATCTCTGTTTGGTTGGTGGGAAGATTAAGTGAAAGGAAAGGTGGGGAAAGTCATGATGCTATATGGGTTAAGCTTCTAAGTTAAATTAAATGATTTGTGTTCGGATGAGATCCTACTTCTTTTATTTTGTTTCCCCAATTAATTTTGAATCTTTGACTTCTTGTCCATAAGCTACTAGTCATATCAATTTTGTGGGTTTTAGGTGATGGTTTTTTGTAAGATCCATATGAAAAAGTTTTGTGAATTGATTTCCTCCACTCAAGCCATTGCATTCTTCTTGTTGTCATTGTTTTTGTTGTGTTGTAGTGAACAAGTCTTCACTCTTTTCAGTCAAATTTCTCACTTGAAATGTTTCTCTGAAACCATTGGGTTTGCACAGGCATGAATCTTTGTTACGGATTACAATAGGGGGTACTGTTGTTCCTTTCCTCTGAAGGTCATGGTTTCCAGCTATAGCATGATAAAATGTTTAGGTCACTTAGGTTTATAATGTTGTATCTCACATGCGTTTGAATAGTTTGAGGTGATTTTACTCCTTGTAGAGGTAGTATTTGTTGATTAACGTTAGATTGTTTTTCCACTGATGATCAGGTCACACTTGATTCATATTGATGAGGTTCTCCTTGAAATGAAATTTTGTTTCTTTCCTTTTTTGTGTGCATGTGCAGCTACCCTTAAGCCTCCTTTTAGTTCATGTTTTCACTTGCTTGTGATAAAATGGCATTAAATGTCAATAAATGTTGGGAGCTTTTTGAGTGAGTTATGCACAAGTTTTTTTGTGTCTAGTTTTGTTTTAATGAAGGGAGCAATTGTTTTGTAGAATCAAGCTGGCAGTGTAAGACAATAGGAGAAGGATATATTTGCTGTAAAATCTGTGAAGGTCTACTACGCAAGCCATGGGCTGTGCCTTCACATTCATTATTTGTATATACACAACCTTGTAGCTGGCATGTCTCAGTTGGCTTGCTGGTGTCTTCTTTATGAACAATATTGGCAATCAGTCAGCCCTTTAAGAGTTTTCATATTCATTTAGTGAACTTAACTGGTACAATATGTTCTTTGGTTCATTAATTTTGTTTTTTATTCATTTTCTCTCTTTCTTGAAGATTTGTTTATGGAAGAGTCTGATTGATGATCTGGGTCCTTCTTACTAATTCTGGTCATTTTGTTCTTTTTTAACTGGTCAGAGATGATTTGTGAAGTGGAACTGCTAAGAGATGTTCCAGTTCTTGCTGGAAACTTGGATAGAAATGGACTGATCCCACAACGGTCCATTGTAAACCGTCTATTGGAGGATCTTTTCATAGAGAAATCGAGCAGGGATCATGGCTACTTTCTTGCTGTAACTGGCTTGAAGAAAATTGGCAAAGGAGAGGCAGTAGATGAGTCAGGGGATGCATTCTTCCCTGTTGTCTTTAACTGCCGCACCTTCTTGCCTTGCAGTGGAGAAGTATTACAAGGTTTTGTTCATCATGTATCTACATCTGGTGTGTTCTTGAGGTGTGGACCCATCAAATATATATTCCTCTCACCTCGTAAAATGCCAAATTACCACTATGTGCCTGGGGAAAAGCCAGCCTTTGTAAGTGATGAGCTAGCAAAGATAGAGAGTGGTGTAGTGGTTCAGTTCGTGGTGCTTGCGGTGAAATGGATAGAGAAGAAGGGAACTAATATTAGGAGGGACTTTGTGATGCTTGCTAGCATTGAAGGTAACTCCCTTGGACCAGTTTCGTTGTCTGGCTCTGATGAATTGGAGTTGGGAATGGTTGTATAGGTTCAAAACAAAATTCTGCTTCACATTTTCAGCTTCATGGGTTTTTGTAAAGAATTTGGGGTCTCAAAGATAGGATAGTCGCTACACTTGTTATAGATGAATTCATAGCATTGTCATAACTAGTTATGTAGTCCTCTTTCTGGCTAAAACATTTATGTAGTCCTTATGAAGCATTTACATGAAAGGAAATCTTTTGAATTTCAGTTTGTCTTTTAAAGTGAGTTCCATATTTGTTTATTATTTTTTAGCCAAAGCCTTGTGTAGTACTAATATTCATTCCCTAAAAACCTATAATATGGTCACTTTTTAAAGGGATTAAATTTACTCCCCCCCCCACAAAACTATATATGACCATATGAGAATGTTGTACTGTATTATTTTTAACCTTTGATGAAATGAAAGATTGCTAGTATCAAGAGGCCGCCTCATCTATTGATGGTCATAGCTGTGACTATTATTGTTATCTGGGCAATTGAATTCTTTATTTCATCGAAAAAAGTGTTTTGTAGTTTGGAATATTTTAAATTATATAATTTCAATGGGTGGATAGAGATGGACGTTTTATTATTGGAGTTTCTTCTCTTCTCTAATAATTTTTATTTTATATTGATTACAAGATAATTTTTAAATGGCTACCAATATATAAAAGATAGGCATAATTTTTACTTCATAATTTAATATAATTTAAACTGTAAAATAGAAAACTCTTAGTGATTACTTGGTTTGATGAAAAAATTTTCTTTCTAAACTTTCTTAAAACTTTTCCCTTACAATGTTTTGAATCCATTTTCATATATTAACAGTACAACAGAAGAAGTATAAACGTAGTATTTTAAGTGTTTATTTTCTTTAATATAATTCTTAAGTTACAAAGCTTTTTTTTTTCCATTTATTTTGAAAAAAAAAAAAAGTTTCCTTATAATTTTTTTTATATTAAACCAACTTAACAATTTTCCCTACTAATTCTATTCATATCAATTTCTTATCAAATACAACAAAATTAATAACCTAATAAAATTTTATTACAAAACTTAATAATCTTTCATATAATAATTTTTAAATTTTCATACAATACTTTTCTAATTGTGGCTTGTTAACCAAACAAATTCTTATTTTATGCTAAAATAAGAGTATGTTT